AATTGCGCGATGCCGTTAAAGAAGTTGATGGCAATGAATTTCTTCGCAATTTTACAACTGCTACCACCAAATGGAATTTCAATCCACCCGCTGCCCCACATATGGGCGGGGCGTGGGAACGCATGGTACGTTCTATTAGAACAGTTTTTTATAAAATAATGCCGACGAGATCCGTCAATGATGAGACCATTCGAAGTATGATGGCAGAGGCCGAAAATATTGTAAATTCTCGACACTTACCTACGTGCCAATAGACAATGAAAATCAGGAGGCACTAACTCCTAACCATTTACTGTAAGGGAGTTCAAATGGCATGAAACCGTTGGCTGATTATGATGACTCCAGCGTGGTGGTTAAAAATAGCTGGTTACAATCGCAGATGTATGCACAACATTTTTGGAGAAGGTGGCTGTCAGAGTATTTACCGACCCTTACATGTCGCACTAAGTGGTTTGAAAACAGTAAACCTTTAAGCAAAGGCGATTTGGTTGTTGTGGTTGACCCTTCCTTCCCGAGAAATATGTGGCCCAGAGGAAAAGTATTAGAGACTACAGTTGCAGCTGATGGCCAAGTTCGTAGAGCGAAAATTATGACGTCTCGAGGTGTACTAGAAAGACCAGTAACTAGATTGGCCTTACTCGACGTGGCTTCGACTAGGGAGTTGGGCTGCGAATCCTTCTTGCCATACTGCGGCGGGGTGTTAGCGCCACTAACGGCCAATTTTTTAATTACACAGCAGCGAGGTGCTAGCACCACAGTCAGCTGATTAACCATACTAAAACTTATCGCTGTTATCGAAAGATTGTGGTCTCAATCCATATTAAAAACTAAAATCATTTTTTGTAAGGTTATAATTCAACGTGTTTCAAAGTTCATAACCAACGTTCTAAAATTAAATATTATAAAAAATATTATATCTTTCGTGCTTTGTTTCACACTAAAAAGTAACTAAAACCATAAAAGTCTGAATTTAAATATGTATATTCTAATTTATAATTATTTTACAATTAGGAATTTCAACATGCAAATACAAATGAATTAAATAAAGAATTGAATTTCCAACTGCAAAAACATATTTTGATTAATTCGCGTATATAATCGGGGTTTTCTTCGAATTGAAAGTCCTTTTTTCGCGTAGCCCACATATAAGGGCACCCCCAATTTTAGAATTTCTAGAGCGCGTTTTTCAACCGAATTCGCATAAATTTGGTACAATGGGTTCTTATTGGGTACCAAATTTCTTCAATAAAAATTATAAATATGGGCCCATTGTTTCGGGTAGCCCCCATATAAGGGCACCCCCAATTATAGGTGTTTTGGGGCTCTTGAGCGAGCGGAAAAACTGCAAAAACATATTTTGATTAATTCGCGTATATAATCGGGGTTTTCTTCGAATTGAAAGTCCTTTTTTCGCGTAGCCCCCATATAAGGGCACCCCCAATTTTAGAATTTCTAGAGCGCGTTTTTCAACCGAATTCGCAGAAATTTGGTACAATGGGTTCTTATTGGGTACCAAATTTCTTCAATAAAAATTATAAATATGGGCCCATTGTTTCGGGTAGCCCCCATATAAGGGCACCCCCAATTATAGGTGTTTTGGGGCTCTTGAGCGATTTTTTCAACTGAATTCGCTGAAATTTGGTACATTGGGTTCTTTTTGGGTACCAAATGTCTCGACTAAAAATTTTAAATATCGGTCCACATTTTCTGGTAGTCCCCATTTTTTTCTATCACTTACTTATATGAAATATAATAATAATTCTCTCTTAGAATATATAATAATATTACTTATTTTAAAAACACACAAAATAAGATATTTTTTAACAATTTTAGAATTAGGAAAATAAATGAACTTAGGAAATCATATGAAAATAATTATAGTGAAGTAAAAAAACATAGGAATGTTTTCGATTTTAAATTGGCGGCCTAGAGATGAAATGAAAAAGAAAACAAACTTATAATTAATAAATAAAAACAAAAAATAATCTTTGGGAAATTAGTAATACAAAAAGGTTATAAACAACAATGACCAATCAATAAGTACTTCTTCGACAGATAGGAAAAAATTATTACATCAAAGTAGAAAAAATGCAATGGTGTGTACAAAAGCTATATAAAAAAATTGTGTATATGTGTTACTGTTGTATAAACAGAACAGAATTCGACGTGAGGTGTGTTATCTATTACAAAGGAAATCGATTAGAAAGAAAGCTACATGTTTCAAGTGTATTACGATATTATTAATATGTTAGATTTGGGACTCTAAATAAAACAAATACATATGTATGTAATGTGTCTATATATAAGCAGCAAATATAGATTTACACTGACACAAACACATAAATACATATGTTGCGCGCTATGATTAAAAGGATATTTTTCTTTTATTTGACACCCTACAATTCTACTGAATACAGCAACTTCGTACCGAATGGCTAAATTTGTGATCATCTTCGATATCCTTGGCACTTATAAGACTCTTTATACTTTCGGCTTCTTTCATTCAGAAATCCAACTGCTGCAGTGGCAATGATCTTCGTTCACCCTTGGGTTCCATATTTAAAAATGGCACCAGTATACCCAGAGCCGATGTAAATGATTCCAATTTCCGTTCAAATAAATATAGCTCACCTTGACGTCCAATTTCAAGGCCAGATTTTAGAGAGGGGCTAGAGTGTGAGAGAGCATAAAGTAGTTTGTAACGTGTTTCGGTTCTAAGGCTTGTGATACAACATTTGTTCTTGTTGTTGTTGCGGCACTTTGGTTTCCACTTGTAGACGAAGCAGCATCGGCAGCAGTAAACTCCTTGCCACTTCTGGCTTGTCTCAAGGCTAACGCTTTAAAAACATTTTTTATGTTTATTCTATAAGAAGACCGTCAGCTCTTCTATAAGAAGACCGTCAGCTCTTCTATAAGAAGACCGTCAGCCCTTCTATAAGAAGACCGCCAGCTCTTCTTTAAGGAGACCGTCAGCTCTTCTATAAGAAGCTATTAAAACACTTTTTTTATTTCCTGGGCGCGTTTAACATAAGTTTGAGCTCTTTGACGTAAGGTCATACGTTTAGTGGCATCAGGTCCATCCGTAATCAAGGGTACAAACTATTGCAGAGAACTGCAATAGAGGTAATAGGCCTCTTTGTACTTTTTTTCATCATATTCCACGGCCTGGCTGGCCATATAAATGGCTTTTTGAAATGTCTTTTCTGAGGGCCCTGTTTTGAGATCAAGAAATGCATGATTAAAGAAATCATTAAAGGCTATACGCTTGGTTGGATCATGCTGTAACAAACGTCTGAGCAGGTCTTCACATTTTTTATTGATGCATGCATTGGGCGGCAATGTTATCCCTGTATGCGTGCCAGTAGCTCTTCGATGGTCTTCGAAGAGTATGGCGCACGTCCAAATAGACATTCATACAGAATAACACCTACACTCCAGAGACCAGCACTGGCATCATACCTTTGCTTAGTATTATTTCCGGTGTCATATACAATGGTGATCCCTTCAATAGTTGATTTATTTCACCCAATTTTATATGCTGGGCAAATCCAAACTCTGCCACCTTCAACGAAACATTATTATTATAGTATTTGGTCAGCAACAGAGGTTTTAAATCAAAACGACTAATTTCATTGTTGCGCATATATTGCGCAGCAGAGCCACTTGATGTAGGAAGTACTTGCAGGTGGCCTTAGGCAGTGATTTTTTCGAACGTATAAAAGACGAGAGGCATTGCAGTATTCCAGTACAATGTAAATTTTGTTATCATGCTGGGCAAATCCAAACTCTGCCACCTTCAACGAAACATTATTATTATAGTATTTGGTCAGCAACAGAGGTTTTAAATCAAAACGACTAATTTCATTGTTGCGCATATATTGCGCAGCAGAGCCACTTGATGTAGGAAGTACTTGCAGGTGGCCTTAGGCAGTGATTTTTTCGAACGTATAAAAGACGAGAGGCATTGCAGTATTCCAGTACAATGTAAATTTTGTTATCATCCCAAAAGAAATCCTGTAGCGTAACAATGTGTTTGTGGTTCAATGACCTTAGCAGGCGAATTTCCGTAATTAGATTCTCTCGGGAACTGTCCGACAAGGAGGACATCTCCACAAATTTGATGACATGACATGTTTTACTTTTCTTGTGCCTGGCTCGGTACACCGTGGCATAGCTGCCTTCACACAATTTTTCCAATATACCAAAATCCGTTATGCGAGGCAATGCAATTTTCCGATACTTCTGCACTAAATTAAAAACTTTTTTGATGTGAAATGATGTTGTGTTGCAAAGAAATAAATATAACGGTACTCCCATTTTTTGGGGTAGGCCCAATATAAGACACCCTCAATTTTCGGAATTTTGTAGTAATTTGGTATTTTGTAGTCGCATATGGTAACAAATCTTCCTACCAAAAATTATTAATATTATTAATGTATATGCAATACATTATTTGTATAGGAAATAGATATCTAAATTGTGTCCTTCAATTCCTCTGTATATCAAAAGTTACATACTTTTTCCCCGAAAAAAAAAAAATTCTAACCACTGTGTCATTCTCCTTTACTCCTTTACATAAAACAATGCCAAAATAACGTGTATATTGAATACATTACTTATAAAGCAAGTAGATCTAATATACAGTATACAACACCCTGGATTCGACTGGGCTAATCTCAGCCGACAGCAGACCACGTCACAAATTTTGACCTTGAAATCCTCTGTATATCTTGATCCGTTCAAAAGTTACTTACTTTACTCCTTTACATAAAACAACGACAACATAAACGTGTCATAAATGAAATCCTCACATGTATCTCTACCGTAAGGGATTTCGTAGACATATTGAATTTCTAGAATTATAATTAGATAATTAAGCCTCTTCTCACCAAAACTAACTAAGTTTTATTATGCAATTCCAAATTGGTTAAAATGGTTTCGATCAAATAGTTATTGTGTTGTAACATTTTAACATTAACATTAAATATAAATATTTTTACCTGAAATAATATTTTATAATATCCAATGTCCTCAAACGATACTTTCAATTGGCTAGAAACAATGGCATCAACTGTCGAAGGACCTTCAACGGTATTGCCCAGAAGACCACCTACAACTGACGATGTATAATAATTGTAATATAACAACGAAAATACAAAAGTTGTAAGCGATATAACACGAGATGAGATTCCAAAAGGACTTGATTCCAGTCCTTGCTGGCACATAGCACCGATAACATTGATTGGAACAATAAACAGTATTTGAAATTTATTCTCCTCAGAAGACATTGCACATTCAATACATATCCACGAAAGTGTTAGAATAATACAAATGCCGATCATAATAAACCACACACGTTTTTCAAATGGAGTAAAAAAATCACCGTTTGCATTTTTATACCCAATGTTAGGCGTTAATCTATAAATAAAGGCAGCTTCGAGTTTCCAGCCCTGATGAAGAACGTCGAAGTAGGCAAACCGATTTAAACGGTTATACGATGCCGAAGCACCGATATCTGCTTCGTTCCTTTGCATTATTCCTATATAACCAAGGCGGAATGATGAATTTCCCAGTGTTCCAGCCCACCCACGCGCATTTCGGAATGTCACCTTAAAATTGAATCTTTCTCTGATTATACAAAATAAGGCATAATGATATTTTGCAAAAGCTGCGACGCCAGATTCTTTATGAGTACTTGATAAAATGTCATCTATTTGCTTGTCAGATGTAATATTGTTTCGGTCAATCTAAAAGTAAAAGAAAATGTAAAAATATTTTATTCATATTGATTTTACTCGGATGAGTTATAAGTAGACCTCGGATTTTGCATTTTTTTTAATAATGAAGATATCGAAATTCTGATTGGACACAAATTCGTTTCAAAGGATTTAGAATTGTATGAAGGGTTCATATTTTTTGCATATTTTGGATATTTTTGCATATTTTGGATATTTTTGGCATATTTTTTGCCTATATTTTGCATGTTTTTGCATATTTATTGCATATCGATCTAGCATACCGTGCAGATTTTTTAGATATTTTGCATTTTTTGCATATATAGAATTGTATGAAGGGTTCATATTTTTTGCATATTTTGGATAATTTTGCATATTTTGGATATTTTTGGCATATTTTTGCCTATATTTTGCATGTTTTTGCATATTTATTGCATATCGATCTAACATACCGTGCAGATTTTTTAGATATTTTGCATTTTTTTGCATATATTTTGCATATTTTTAACATGACTCCAAATATTGATCAATTGAAGCATGAAACGCCTAAATACAAAATTTGTGTCCAATCGGATAAAACATAAAAAATGTGCAAAAATCCGAGGTCTAGTTATAAGCTATAAAATGTTTTGGCTTGGTGGCTTGTATTACAGGAATGAATTTAGTAAATAAATAGATATAGAGGGAACGATCCTTTAAACTGCATGCACATAACATTTACCGGGTTAAACTCCTCTATGCGGATTTATATGCAAGTTGACAATTTAAGTAAATACAGTACAATGCAAATTTATTATTGCATGGCGACTAGATTTTGGAAATGAAAATAGATGTCATTGGAAATAAAATAAACAATTTACTTGCTTTCAAATTTTTTTAAAGAAAAATAAATAAATAAATACAAAAAGCAAATATATATTGCTCTGTTCACCAACCTAAAACTAATCAAAATAGTTTTCGATATATATTTTTGCAACTTTAATATACATCACTCTAAACTCACCTCTGCCAAATTTCGTATAAATAGGCTCTTCGGTGCACTATTTACATAAAAACGCACGAAAATATCCGAAATAAAATTGACGAAAATCATCTATCTGAACCTAACTCCGTACACTGCGCAAGATTTTGTATCAATCGGACAAATATTGGGTGTTTGGTGCACGGACGAAACTATATATGGGAGTTATCTGAATATGAACCAATTAAAAAAACTGCACAGCCATTAAACTGTACGCTGTGCAAGATTTTCAATCGGACAATCCTTGGGAGTTTGGTGGACCATTTTGATAATATCGGACGAAGCTATATTTAAATCTGAACCGATTTCAACCAAACTTCTTAGACATCAAATCGGACTTAATTAAGTTCGCTGTGCATATTTTTTGTTTGAATAGGACAAATAGTGGGTGTTTGGTGCACCATTTAGAAAAAATCGGGCAAAAATATATATGGGATCTATATCTAAATCTCAATATGGACCTATTTCAGTACGCTGTTCAAAGTTTTGTTTGAATCGGACATATAATGGGTGTTTGGTGCACTATTTAGATAAAATCGAGCGAAACTATATATGGGCAATATTGCCAATGTTTTAATATTCCATTTTCTAAAAATCGCTTTTTTGTTTTCGTGTTACATCAATGATTTTTGCTACACATATAGAGAAAAATGTTCAGACTTCGAAACTGTTCGCGTATGCGCGCAAAAGTTATTTAGGTTTTAATTTTTAGCATAAAAAAATCTTAAAATTACGCCGTTTATTAAATTGACCAAAAACGATGATATATATCTTCCTTCGTAAAATAAGAATATGTTATAATAATCTCGAAAAATTTACACATCTTCGTTAAATATGAGAAAAATAATAAAAATATAGGAGATTTCGTCAATATTTTCATTATATTAATGACATGTATCAACCTAAACATTAATTTACATACATACATAATCTAAACACCATGATACATACATAATCTAAATGATACATACATAATCTAAACACCATACATAATCTAAACACCATGATGAATCAAATGATATCACACAAATCTGTGTAGCGGTTTGTAAATTACAGCGACAACAAAACAAGATATTGGCGGAAAATGTCATCATATTTAGTTTTTAATTTTATTCAAGAAATTTCAGAAAAAAATGTTCGGGTTATTCTTCTATTTTACCAGAATTTCGCCAAAAATTGGAATATATAAAATTAATCTCTTTATGTTTATAAGTATACACCTTGCGGATTATAGCAAGACCCTTCCGATAAATCTTCGGGTTCTATAAGTAGAAATACATCTTAAAATGAAATATATTATTAAATATACAATTTAAATTGCGACTAAATCGCGTAATTCTCAAAATGATTTGATGCGCATGCTGTTTCCAGGAAGTACAGAAGTTTATCTTCCAATCAATGTATATTTAACGAAATTTCATTTAACGGCTAAGATGTGCTATCTACATATGCATATCTACAAAAAAGAAAAATTGATTTTTAAGAAATTTGATGGCGCAAAATGTTCACCTTCGGATGAGTATTACTGAAGCTGTGCACACTATATACACAAAATATATATCAAATTACTCAGATTCGCGACTACAATAATCTTATAATCGATTTTTAGAAATTCCTGTTTGCGCATTAAAACTAGAACTAAAATGCAAAAAACAGTCAAAATCGAGCTTCAAAAGGTCAGCATCATTTAAAATTAGATTCAGTTAAAATTTTAAAAAATTATACACAAGAGGCGTAGTCCTCATTTTGTTTGCTTCTAGTTTTACTCTGACATGATGACCGTGAAATGAGTGGCTTAGTCACAAATCGATAGAAAACATAAAAAATCTGGTTCGCCTCAACCTGTTTTCACACATTTTTTACATTAAAGTAGACACAGCTTCCACCCAAATAAAGTTTAGAGGTCAATATCATGAAAAGTTTGCAACGACAGGTCAATTAACAAAAAACTAACCACCTCATTTCATATACTTACGTAATAATAATAAAGGAGTGAACCTCCGCTTCAGCTATGTTAAACCAGTAAGGAAAATAGTAAAGTCGGGCTGTGCCGACTATATGATACCCTTCACCACTTAGGGTATATTCTACATATGTATTGGAAAAGACGTCGCTGTACTGTTTAAAATTTAATCCCAATCAGAAACCCATTGATAATTTAGTGTACAATCAACAGTCGAAATTATATATGGAAGCTAAGTTATATGTATATCTGAACCGATTTCAAGCAAACCTGCCAGAGATTAATTTATATTAACTTCAGTACGTTGTCTCAATTGGCCTAGCTATGGATCTTTAGTGCACAATTTACTTAAAATCATCACATCATTCTAGACTTAATTTAGTACGCTATGCCAACATTTTTGCCAATCAAAAGATTTGCAGGAACTTTGGTGCTCCATTTACCTACACGCAGAAAAATATATATTTGCATCCAAACATATTTGTATTTGGGACTGGTTGCAAACAAACATATGTTTGGATGCAAACATATTATGTTTGGATCAAAACATATATTTGTTTGCAACATTTTGTAACATATCTTTATTTTATATGTTTGGGTACTAACATATTTTTTATGTTAGAACATATTTTTTATAGTTTGAGAGAGGTTTTTTTTCAAAGAGCGTAACAACAGTGCTCTCACTTTTTATATTAAAGGCTGTGTGTATGGTCATTATAAGATGCAGAAGGGACGATGGGAAGGTGAATGAGTAAGTTGTACTTTTGTGGTCTGTATGCGGCAAACGCTTTTGTTTAGTTCTTTGCTGTTGCTGCCGCGAGGGGACGCGGCCGCGTCCCTTTCACCCACACACACACCTACGAGTCAAGTTTTTTTTTCTGGTTCTTGTTGATTGTTATATTCTTCTTCTGTCGTTTGTTTATTTGCTTCACAAGCAGGCCCGTTTTTGTAGGACGGTGGAATCGTCACAGCAACAAAGCACAAAAGAATGCGTTTCTTCGGCTGCGAACTAAAAAACTTGACTCATAGGTAAGTGTGTGAGAGGGAACGCAGCCCTTCGGCTGCGTTATGTGCTTTGTTTCCATCGTCATGCAATAAAGGGACTGCTTGTAAAACAAAACAAATCGTCAGAACAACCAACACATGCGTTTCATCGGCTGCGTCCCCTTACACATACACTTACCTATGAGTCAAGTTTTTTGGTTATTTTTGCTTGTTTTATTCTTCAGCTTCTTTACAACATTACGATATTTTGTTTCCATCGCCGTGCAAAACTCTGCTAGTGAAAAAATAGTCCCAACAACAATTTCGTTCATATTGTTGCGTTTGCATTTATTTTTATTATTTCATTTCATTTATCTTATTTAATTTAAAGCTTGAATTGTTTGGAGATAAATATAGTCATTTCTAAACAAATTTTAATACAAAGGGTGTTTGGAGAGAACAAATTTTTTGTCGAAAAAGTTCTTCTTCAGTAGATGTCAAAACCAACATTTTTTTTTTAAATTTTATTTGTCCCAGGGACTTACTTTATTGATAAAAAATTGCATACATTTCATTATTCTACGAAGCCTTACATTGGCTTGTATGTAAAATAAAAATTGTAATTATTTTGAATAAAGTTATTATTTAAATACATAGCTGTAGACTTCATGTTTAGGGTACTTTTGATAATGTAGTTTTTTACAATTCATTTATTTAAGAAATACTTTTTAATCTTTTTAAGTCTGGAAAATTTGTTTTTGGTCTCTAAAATCTCCATCGGAAGTTAAGAGTGATTGGAAGCGTGACTTCTAGTGCATGTTTTCCATGTTCATTCTCAAATTTCGGTACTGCGAAACGTCCTTCTAGTCTTCTTCTGGTTCCATACTGATGGTTTATGTTCGTAGTAAGACTCTTGTCGTCAGAAAATTCTCCTGTGATCGTTATTGAATATAATTCTTCTATGTTTAATATGTGTTGGGTTTTATATATGTTGCTTGCGTTGCTGATACGTTGTTGTGTGTGATTGTGTTTATAATTAAATTTTTTGTAAAGGTGTTTAACAATTCTGTCTTGTGACTCTTGAAGAGTTCTGCAGCATCTTGCGTTTCCCCAAGCCGTGATCCCATGCCTTAAATGTGATTCCACCATAGAGTGATATGCTTGCTTTAACACGTAGTACGGGCACAGTTGCCAAGATGATAAAGCGCGAAAGCTGATTTTCTTAATTTTTTCTTCAGATTATCGATTTGATCTTTCCATTTAAAATTGTCGTCTAAAAGAACACCTAAGTATTTGTAATTTGGTACGGTTTCCACCTTAATGGTACAGTTTTCCTGATTTGATTGTTTAGAATTGTCGTGCAGACAGTCGTTGTTATGGAACACAATTTCAATGTGATGTTTTGGAACACTTCTCGACCTAAAGTGCATAATCTTTGTTTTGTTTGGGTTTATAATAAGACCATTGTCATGACACCATTTAGCTACTATGTTGAATTCACCTTGCATTGTTGAAGTTGCTTCTTTTACATCTGTATGTGATACAATTATTGCAGTATCACCTGCATATGTGAACGAGGTACTTCGTTGTAGGTTTTTGGTCATTTCGTTGGTATAAATTAGATATAATATGGGTCCCAGTTTTGAGCCCTGTGGGACACCATATCGAGTTGGTAGATCAATGCTGTTGGTACTATCAAGCTTTACGCTAAATGAACTACATTCAAGGTAGTTCTGGAACCATTTTAATGGATGTCCTCTTATTCCCGTTTTTTCCAATACTTTCACTATCTTTCCATGAGATTATGTATCGAAGGCTTTGCTGAAGTCTATAAAAAGTGCTATGCAGCTTTTGTGGAGGCTGAGATTTTTGTTTATATGATTCGAGAAATGGCCTAAATGTTGATTTATATTTTTGTGCTTTTCGAAGCCATATTGATTTTTATTTATTATTTTATATTTATTTAAAAAACTGTTCAGTCTTCTCACAATTACTTCTTCTAGAACTTTTTCGAATATTGGTAATATAGAGATTGGTCTGTAATTCGCAAAATCTGCCTTCGTACCACCTTTGTATATTGGTCTGATAATTGATTTTTTAAGCATATGTGGTATATGAGATTCATATATGCTTTGGTTAATTAATTTTGTGACTATTGGTGTGAGAAAGGTTGTGTTGTTTTTGATATCAACAGCTCTAATGTTAACACAACCTGCAGATTTATTTGTATTTAAAGTTCTTAATATGTCGAATATTTCAGAATCTGTTGTGTATTCGAGATACATTGAATTTGGTATTGTTCTTTCTATGCATGTATCTAATGTTTTTATTTCGCATTGGTGAATTATGTTCGTGACATTTCGGCTGAAGTTAATAGCGAAGTTGTCCGCAATTTCTTTCATATTAGTGCTATTAAAACTGAGCTTGTTATGCTCGTCATTATTTTTAGTTTTTATACCAATGACATAATTTATTACTTTCCAAGTTCCACGTATGTTATTTTTGTTCTTTATGAATTGTTTGTATGTATATTCGTTTTTGGCTCTAATTATTAGTTTATTCAGTTTGTTATTGAAATTTTTGTAAATTTTTTCGTTTGTTTTGTTTGACTTATTTTTATGCCACTTTTTGAATAGTTTGTCTCGAATACTGCATGATTTAAGTATACTCTCTGTAATCCAAGGTTGACCACTACGATTTTTGTATTTAGGTGTTTCATTTTTTGAATTTTCATATATTTGGTTAAAAGTGTAGAGGATGTTACTAAAGAGCTCATTTGAGTTACTGGACATATTTATAATATCATCCCATTTAGTGTTTCTAATTTGCCTGTTTACGCTTTTGTTTACTATTATATGTTTCGATACATTTTTTGCGTTTGGTTTTGTACATGCTTTATTTTTGTCTATGCATGCGAATAATGAGTAGTGATCAGAGATATCAGTGGTTATAACTGCGGAGTGAGCTTCTATTAGATTTTCATTCCATCTTTTAAAGATATGATCTATGCAGGTTTTAGTTATAAGATTTCCATCTTCTCTCGTAGGCATTGATATTATAGATCTTAATCCGTTTGTTGACGGTTTGTTTTATAATATCTATATTTATATCTCCTACTACTATTAGGTTGGTTTTGTTGCATATTTCGTTTAGATTTTTTTCCAATTCGAGTAGGAATTGTGATGCACTATTATTCGGAGGTCTGTATATTGCCAAAAGTGAAAAATATTTAGTGTTTTTTATCGTCACATCAATCCTTACTACCTCAGCCGACATCATTTCTATGTTTGTATTTTTAAACTGTATATTTTCTTTTATATATAGCGCAATTCCTCCTCCTTTTCCATCTCTATTTAGGAACACAGAATTAATTCCTTCTATTTCATAGAAAGAAGTTTCTGCATCTGATATGTTTGTTTCGCAAAGAATTATAATTTGTATCTTATTTATTATTTTTGAGATATTTGTGATAAATGTCAAGAAATTCTTCTTTAAAGACCTTATATTTAAATGTATCATAGATACAGGAAAGTGCATATATTTTTTGTAAGTTCATTAAAATTGTTAATTTTTTCTTCCGAGTAATTCATATTTGTAGATAGTAATTCAGTGATTTTAAATTAATATATATATTTTGTGTTTTTAATTTTTATTTTATTATTTTTCAATATTTTAGAAAAAAAGACATAAATATGTGTCTGTAAAAAAAAGTTTATTAAATTATGAATATTTTCTTTTCGTATGGCTTTTAGGAATATCGCTTCCGAACTTTTATTGAGCACACTGTATTTTATTTAATTTGTTTTCGTTATATTTTCCACATCTGATGTGTTGTTTATAATTATAAATCGAGAACTCTCATTTTTACGTGCATATATGCATCCATTTCGAACCCAAAGAAATCTCCACTCACATTCTTTAGCTTTGGTTTTCGTCATCCAGAGCAGACGTTTGTTATGTGGTGTAAGTTCTTCATTTAAATATATAGTACTCTCATTCTCCCCTGATTCTCCATTTCCATCATTTATTTGGAGACGATGTCTCTTTATTTTATTCATTATTTCTCTTTTCTTGCTTATCGTTGAGAATTCAATGATAATTTTTATTCTTTTTCTGCAGTTTTACCGTTTTATCAATATCGTTGTTGTTGATAGTCACTTGTGTCTTCTCAGTAATTTTCGATATTATCTCTCTCACATCAATACTCATATCTGGTATGTTGCTAATCTCTATGTTTTTATTTAAAGCCTTCTGCTCTAGCTTCTCAATTCTCTGAGTAAGCATATCATACTGTACGTCTCTTTTTCGATTCCTCTCTTGCAGATCCAAAATTTGTGTTGTTAGTGTTGTAACGTGTTTATTCATGCCTTCTGCGTATTGTTCTAGTTTTGTACTCATTTTGTTCATATCTTGTGATTGTTGTTCCAGTTTCGTGCTCATTGTTGTGACGCTCATGGTGAGCTGCTTAATGCAGTTCTGTAAGTCAAGCATACCTGTCTTCAATTCTGACATGTCGCTAGGTTTTGACAAGCCTGCATCATCATTGTTGTTGGAAATTGAGTTTTTAAATCTCTTGCTATTGCTGTCATCATTACTTTCGTCTCTCAATTGCTTTTGTGTACTCTTATCTCTGGTATCATTCTCAGAGTAACAAAAATACGCCGAGTTGGATGACCTAGCTTCGCATTTTTGACATTTCCAGTCTGTCTTTCTCACATTACTCATACTATTGTATGAACTCTCAGAGAGTGATGAACAAGGTGAGAAATGAAATTGACGATTGCAATGGTAGCAACAAACGTAAGACATTGATTTTATTTCTAAATTATATTGTATTGTACATTGTATATTGTCCACAAATGTTTTATTTCGCACTTCGATTACCGACATTTTTGCAAAAAAGATTGTTTAGATACTCAAGCCGTTAATTTGCGATATATATTAAATTTTAAAGATATCAAAAACTTTCGTTGCCGTTTTCATTAGATCGAAAAAACACTTAACATAAATATAAATAATATATATATATATAATATAAAAATACAAATTTATAATATAAATAAGATATCAAATTTATAATATAAATAAGATATCATATGTACCTATAAATGCAAATATCTATCATTTCAAAATATAAATAGAAATTTAAATATATATAATTTTAAATATATTTATATTTGAATTTAAAAATATATTTATATATTTATAAATATCTATAAACTTATGTATACATAAATTCAAATATATATGGATTTAATATATATATATATATATATATATATTCTTTGAGCTTGAGGTCTTTTTTTTAAATTAGCTCAAAGAATCTCATTACTGGAATATCAACAAAAAAGGTCGAAAAAACACTTAACATAAATATAAATAATATATATATATATAATATAAAAATACAAATTTATAATATAAATAAGATATCAATGTACCTATAAATGCAAATATCTATCATTTCAAAATATAAATAGAAATTTAAATATATATAATTTTAAATATATTTATATTTGAATTTAAAAATATATTTATATATTTATAAATATCTATAAACTTATGTATACATAAATTCAAATATAAATGGATTTCATATATATATATATATATGGGAAATTACAAAAATCTTTTAAATTCCTTGAAGCTGAGGTTTGCAAGGTTATAACTCGCGAAATATTAATTAAAATTCATTTATATAAAATGAAGTGTTCTTTGTGGCTAAACTACACAACGCACGCACATGTGATCAGTGACTAAGTTGCAGAATACCCCATGGACAATATGATTCTAATGTATGATTTTTCGATATAATCACTGCATCCACCCAGAAGGGATGCTGACATTTTGAAGCCGGATTTTCGGTGATTTTTGAATTTTTCTTATAATTAGGATGCGCATTCAGATAATGGACTAAACTCATTACAGGATTGTAGAACTCGTGATTTTGCTTCGTTTAGTGTATATCTCATGAATGTGTAGCTTCTTTGCAATTGGGTTCCAAAGACGAAAATTTGGTGCTTACATTTTTATAAAAAACATATTTTTTGAGTCTAAAATTAAGAAAGTCTATTCAAATTCCGTGGAACCCCGCGTGATGTTAGTTTTTTTACGTGCCGGATCTAATGAGCCCATCCATGTTCAATTCCGCCCAATAAAACGGCGGATATAGGTACCTTGATTGTGGGAAAAACTGCAAAAACTTATTTTGACAAATTCGCGTATATAATCGCGTTTTTCTTCGAATTAATTTCACATACATTCATTCTTGTGTTATCATATACGCGAATCTGTGTGAAAATAGGTCAAAAATATATCTGTACGCGAATAATATGCGTATTTTATCCAAAACCGATTGTGGAGGCACATCCGCGATTCTTAATCGATCCTTTTAAAATAGGTGTCCTTTTGTGTATTTTTATAGGAGATTACTGAAATCGGATGCGCATAAAAATCGTATGCACGTTGCGTGATTTTTAGCAATTTTTAGGGTTTTTGCATATTTAAGTGCATCGAGCGGCACACTTTGACCGTTAAATTAAACATCGAAAAATTCATAATTATTGAAAGACATTGATTCGGTTTATACGAAAACCGCACACGCATCAACTGATTTCAACCAATACGCGAATTGCATGCTTTTAAATATTGATAATTTTTATGTATTGTAACTGCAATATATTTAGTCATTTTTACAGTCGAAACTGTTATCAACAACGAATTACAACAAATAGGAATTCATTAAATTTATATTTGAAATACAAGATTTAAAACCGCAATAACTTTTGTGCGCAGCATCCGAATTTGTGAACGCGTACATATTTCGAATCAGCATATTTTTCTTAACCTATGTACCAAAAATCATGAACGTGCTCGCAAAAAAAATTTTCAATTTTTTTTTTATGGAATTTTAAAAGAATTTTGTAATTTCCCATATATATATATATATTTCATTTTATATTTGTAATAATATTAAAATATAAATTTTATAATAAATAAGCATTTAAATATATATAAAGTTAAATATAAATATATTTAAAATTATATATATTTAAATTTATATTTATATATCAGTTACTATAATTAAGTTTTTATATAATTGAAATATAATCATTATTTATATATATATATATATATCATTTCGTTTTATGGTTGTAATAATATAAAAATATAAATTTCATAATAAATATACATTTAAATATAAATAAAGTCAAATATAAACGTATTTAAAATTATATATACATATATATATTTTAAGTTCTATTTATATTTTGAAATTTTAAATATTTACATTTATAGATTGATATCTTATTTATATTATAAATTTATATTTTTATATTATTACAAATATAAATAAAATATTCATATCAAATAAGTCCATACTTCCTGAGATATAGGTCCTATGAACAGATGGCAACACCGGCTACGCGACAGAATCTCCTCTTAATTAGAACAGAGTTTGTGGGTAGCCGGCCTTCGGCCGGGGATTAAGAATAGATTCTGTCGCGTAGCCGGTGTTGCCATCTGTCCATAGGACCTATATCTCAGGAGGTATGGACTTATTTGATATGAATATTATATTTATATTCGTAATCAGGGCTTCAAATGCTTTAAAATGATACCCATATTGCCAAGGGTCCCAACGTAACATTGGAGGCCTATATCTCCGGAAATACCGATTTCCGCAAGAAATAAAGTATACTGCTGTAATCAGGGTCCCAAGGACTACATGTGGTAAAAATTTCAAAACGATCCGGGAGGAGGCCCTTAAACTTGACTTGTTCCATAAAAAGACTGCATTAAGTGCTATTGGAATTATAAGACGAAGACCTCGAAAGGATCTGAAGCGAAAAGTAAATACGCCTGATACATGTAAGTTATTGGTTCTAGCCTAGGTTTATAAACCTAGAAATTTAAACTGTGATTTTTTTATTAGCTGAAGCAAAAAGTATTGATTATCTTTGTGAGCATACGTCGGATTTAGCGACAATAATTTTGAAGTGGGAGGAAACACACGAATAACGACGAAAATAATTAAAAGGAAATATTTCAACCTATGACTGTATCTCGAAGTACCCAGTTCTACAAGGTAACAACGGCATCAAGGTAACCGCTCTGGATGTACAATTATTGTTAGGCAAACAGGACAAATCGAAAATTGGCTGGAGTTGTATCCAAAAGTCTTACGTCACTCACGTACTCTTCATTATGGAAGAATTATGAATGAAGTTGGTCCACTTAAACATCTGTCACCAATTCGATTTGAAGCTTTTCACCAGCCTTTCAAAAAAATTGCAAATTCCACCAGTTCTAGAGTTAATTTAATCAAAACATTATTCACAAAATACCAGCTAAACATCGCCAATATATTATTAAATTTTGCAGACTTTAATTCTTACAAAATAGAAGTAGGAAGAATTGTAGAATGTGAAACAGAAAGTATTATACATAAATTTAATTTAAAAAATCCAATATCGATTACAAACAAAATAAATTTTAATGACATTATATATAAAAACAAAATGGTTGTACATATAGGATATAGAGAAGACCAACTGCCGGAATTCGCACTTGTTTTGCATATTTGCAATCATCCACAACCAATCTTTTGCTTGCAAGAATTTTAAATCATGGATTTGATAACCACTTCTATGCATTTCGAGTGGAACTCGACGATTTTTTTTACACTTCCAGTGGATTCATTGTACACAAGGGACACATCGTATATATAGCATTTCCACATTAAATGAAACCTTTTACAAATTAAATGAACCCTTTTCCAAATTAAATGAAACCTTTTCCAAATTAAATGAAACCTTTTCCAAATTAAATGAAACCTTTTCCAAATTAAATGAAACCTTTTCCAATTGAAATGAAACCTTTTACAAATAGAATGAAACCTTTTCCAATTGAAATGAAACCTTTTACAAATAGAATGAAACTTTTTCCAAATTAAATGAAACCTTTATTCTTATCTAAGGAAATATAATATTTGCACTAATTTTAAACCAATATTTGAAAATTAAATCAAAGAATATTAACAAATATAGTTGTATGGCTATGTAATTAACATAAATATTCTTTGATTCGGTGTGATTTCATTTAATATCTTTACTACATAAAACTAAATAAATAGTAATACAAACTGGGGTATTTCTTGACATTTTAATAAATAAATATTAATTAACAAGAATTGAATACCCGGTCCTAAATGTCTAATAAATTGGTCCTTATAAATTGTTGATGATAAGGTAACTGCTTATCTTAATGAAGGGGTTCCCGACTTGCAGCTTGTGGGATTTTCAAAACCATGTCCATAACGTAGTTAGAACAATCTTGCCGAGTAAGCTTTTGAATACTTCGCTCGATTACATCAACAATGTTATGTTCCATTGAAACGTCACACAGCTCAGCTATTGCACATAATTTTATTTTTGAAAATGCATTTTCGATTGGATTTAGCATTGGAGAATAAAGCGGTAAGAATTTAAGGCTGCATCTTTTGGATTCGATCAAATTTTTTATGTCATGTCGCTTGTGTATTTGAGCGTTATTTTCCAACTCTGGATTGATTTTCTCAAAAAGAATTTCTATAAATAATTTAAATCTATCTGCATTGACACTGGAATGAGAAACGATTGTGTGATGTACAACTCCCGCGTTGTTTATTGCTGCAATTATAGTGACATTACGACCTCTGACCGTTGGCAACACAATGTGTGCTA